GGGTCGGGTGGCGGGGATAGCAGCCTAAGTAGGGAGGCCCAGACTTCCCTCTCCCCAGCCACTTGAGCCAGTTCCTCCAGGGGAATCCCAAGGCGTTCCCAGGCCAGCCGAGAAACATAGTCCCTCCAGCGTGTCCTAGGTCTTCCTCTGGGTCTCCTCCCGGTGGGACGTTCCCGGAACACCTCACCAGTGAGGCGTCTAAGAGGCTTCCTAACCAGATGCCCGAGCCACCTCAACTGGCTCCTCTCGATGTGGAGAAGCAGCAGCTCTACTCTGAGTCCCTCCTGGATGACTGAGTTTCTCACCCTATCTCTAAGAGAGAGCCCAGACACCCTGCGGAGAAAACTCATTTTGGCCGCTTGTATCCGAGATCTCGTTCTTTCGGTCACAACCCAAAGTTCATGACCATAGATGAGGGTAGGAACGTAGATCAACTGGTAAATTGAGAGCTTCGCTTTTTTACTCAGCTCTCTCTTCACCACGACAGACCGATACAGCGCCCGCTTCACTGCCGACGCTGCACCTATCCGCCTATCAATCTCACGCTTCATTTTTCCCTCATTCGTGAACAAGACCCCGAGATACTTAAACTCCTCCACTTGGGGTAGGACCTCCTCCCCGACCTGGAGAGGGCACTCTACCCTTTTCCGGCTCAAGACCATGGCCTCGGATTTGGAGGAACTGATCCTCATCCCGGCCGCGTCGCACTCTGCTGCAAACCGCTCCAGTGAAAGCTGTAGATCACGAACTGATGAAGCCAATAGGACCACATCATCTGCAAAAAACAGAGAAGCAATCCTAAGTCCACCAAAACTGATCCCCTCAACACCTTGGCTGCACCTAGAAATTCTGTCCATAAAAGTTATGAACAGAATCGGTGACAAAGGGCAACCTTGGCGGAGTCCAACTTTCATTTGGAACGAGCCCGACTTACTGCCGGCAATGCGGACCAGGCTCTGACACCGGTCGTACAGGGACCTAACAGCCCATATCAAAGGGCCTGGAACCCCATACTCCCGGAGTCCTCCCACAGGGTTCCCCGAGGGACGCGGTCGAACGCCTTCTCCAAGTCCACAAAGCACATGTAGACTGGTTGGGCAAACTCCCACGCACCCTCCAGGACTCTGCTGAGGGTGTAGAGCTGGTCTATTGTTACATGACCAGGACGAAAACCGCACTGCTCCTCCTGAATCCGAGGTTCGGCTATCCGATGGCCCTCCTCTCCAGAACCCCCAAATAGACCTTACCAGGGAGGCTTAAGAGTGTGATCTCCCTGTAGTTGGAACACACACTACGGTCCTCTCTTTTGAATGGGGGACCACCACCCCAGTCTGCCAATCTAGGGGAACTTCCCCCAATGTCCACGCAATATTGCAGAGTCGTGTAAGCCAACACAACCCCACCACATCCAGAGCCTTAAGGAACTCCGGGCGAATCTCATCCACCCCTGGGGCCCTGCCACCGAGGAGCTTTTTAACCACCTCGGTGACCTCAGCACCAGAGATTGGAGGGCCCGACCCAAAGTCCCCAGGCTCTGCTTCCTCAGTGGAAGACGTGCCAGCGGGATTGAGGAGGTCTTCGAAGTACTCTGCCCACCGAACCACGACATCCCGAGTTGAGGTCAGCAGTACACCACCTCCACTATAAATAGTATTGGTGGCATACCGCTTTCCCCCTCCCGAGATGCCGGATGGTGGACCAGAATCGCCTCGATGCTGTACAGAAGTCATTCTCCATGACCTCTCCGAACTCCTCCCACACCAGAGTTTTTGCCTCAGCGACCACCCGAGCCGCATGTCGCTTGGACTGCCGGTACCCATCAGCTGCTTCTGGAGTCCCACAGGCCAAAAAGGCCAGATAGGACTCCTTCTTCAGCCTGACAGCATCCCTTACCGCCTGTGTCCACCACTGGGTTTGAGGGTTACCGCTGCGACAGGCACCGACAACCTTGTGGCCACAGCTCTGATAAGCCGCCTCGACAATAGAGGCACGGAATATGGCCCACTCGGACTCAATGTCCCCTGCCTCCCCCGGAAAGTGTTCAAAGTTCTCCCGGAGGTGGGAGTTAAAGCTCCGTCTCACGGGAGACTCTGTCAGACGTTCCCAGCAGACCCTCACAATACGTTTGGGTTTGCTAGGTCTGACCGGTATCCTCCCCCACCATCGGAGCCAACTCACCACCAGGTAGTGGACAGCTCCGCCCCTCTCTTCACCCGAGTGTCCAAGACATGTAGCCGCAGATCAGATGAGACGACAACAAAGTCGATCATCAAACTGCGGCCTAGGTGTGTCCTGGTGCCAAGAGCACATATGGACACCCTTATGCCTGAACATGGTGTTCGTTATGGACAATCCATGACGAGTACAGAAGTCCAATAACAGAAAACCACTCGGGTTCAGATCGGGGAGCCATTCCTCCCAACCACACTCCTCCAGGTCTCACTGTCATTGCCCACATGAGCGTTGAAGTCCCCCAGTAGAACAAGGGAGTCCCCAGGAGATGCACTTTCCAATACCCCCTCCAAGGACTCCAAAAAGGGTGGGTAATCTGGGCTGGTGTTTGACGCATAAGCACAAACAACAGTCAGAACCCGTCCCCCCACACGTAGGCAGAGGGAGGCTACCCTCTTGTTCACAGGGGTGAACCCCAACTTACAGGCACCAAGATGGGGGACAACAAGTATGCCCACTCCTGCTCGGCGCCTCTCGCCAGGGGCAACTTCAGAGTGGAAGAGTGTCCAACCCCTCTCAAGGAAACTGGTTCCAGAGCCATGCGTTGAGGTGCGTCCGACTATTTCTAACCGGAATCTCTCAACCTCACAGACCAGCTCAGGCTCCTTCCCCACCAGAGAGGTGACATTCCATGTCCCAATAGCCAGCTTCTGTAGCCAAGGATCAGACCGCAAGGGTCCCCGCCCTCGGCCACCACCTATCCCACATTGCACCCAACCCCTTTGGCCCCTCCCACAGGTGGTGAGCCCATGGGAAGGGGGACCCATGTTGCCTCTTCGGGCTGTGCCCGGCCGGGCTCCATGGGTAAAAGCCCGGCCACCAGGCACTTGCCAGCGTGCCCCACCTCCAGGCCCGGCTCCAGAGTGGGGCTCCGGTGACCCACGTCCGGGCGACGGAACATTATTTCCATAGTTTGTATTCATCATAAGGGGTCTTTGGGCTGCACTTTGTCTACATTATACAAATAAAATGTTTGTATTATTATAGATGCAAGAATGTCTTGTAGATATGTATTTTATCCTCAAAAGTATCCACGGAGAAAACTGGGTCACAGTTTTTCCGTAACTGCTCCCCGGGCAGCTTACATAATAGCTGCCCGCTGCTCCACCTGGGTGTATCTCACATGGGATGGGTTGTATGGAAATATCAGCAGAGGAACATGTTGGCTGGTAGACACCCCCCCCCCCCCCCCACCCCAATAAAATAATGTAACATAAATGCAGAACAATTAAGTTTATCAAACTGAATCAGAGTGTCCAGATGTGTCAGTTTTAACTCATAAAAACAGAGAAACCAAGTAAACATGATTCAGGAAAGGGCAGTTCATGAGGTTATATGAAGAACAAAAATCATCCTAAAATTAGAAACTTTTATCTAGAAATAAACAAAAACAACACTTAAAAACAGCAATTCTTACAATATGCCCCTCCCCTCGTGTTTCTCTTTTCCTTATCTACTTTTGTCTGAAACTTGCGGCTCAATGGGAACTTCAACTAACCCTGTTTAAATAAAGTTTGAATGAATGAAAGAAAAATGCCAGAGGTCATCGAGTTAGAAAACCAGAGCTGAATAACAAAACACAAACGGGTCCTGCAGGATTCATAAAACAGGAGGATTTTACAAAGGACCATTAAAAATTTTAAAAAAGCACCGAACCTGGAAAGATGATCTGCAGGTGGGCGGAGCTGACACGAACAGACACCTGAACAAACAAGATAAACCCTGACATATTCATCACTCCACAGGTCGGATTGTTTGGTTTCCATTACGTGGCAACCTGGACAAAAGATGTATTTTCTTGTCAAGATCAAAGCAGATATTCAACCTTTATTACAGGTTAATCCCATTGAGCCTCGGGGACTCATTTAAAAGACAGACCTGATCTATAATAGATATAACTAATGAAAAAAGGAGTCTATCATATTTCAAATGTGACACACAATCACTTTGAAAACTGAATCTCCTCTGGAATGAGCAGATCTCAGTGACCCACAGCAAAACAAACATCAAAAATGCAACCAAAAAAAAGCTCAGTTTCTTTCAGAAATATTTATATTAAAGTTATTAGATGAGTCTCAAGATTTAAAGACAACAAACTTCAAAACTCAAACTCTTGAAAACGTACAAATAATCATTTGGAACACAAATTCCAGCAGGAGACTGAAGTTATCACAAACGTAGCAGGATGAAGTTTTCAGCTCTCGTTAAAAACGACACCAGATCCAGTTTATCAATCGATAACAGATTGACTGTAACTAACAAGAAATCAATTATATTTAAACAACTTGATTTATTCATCCTTAGCACTGCTGCCGCACAGCAAGAAGGTCCTTGGTTCAATCCCCGGATGGACCTGGGGTCTTTCTGTGTGGAGTTTACATGTTCTCCTCGTGCTTACGTGGGTTTTCTCCGGGTACTCCAGTTTCCTCCCACAGACCAAAAACATGCAAGTTAGTCTGCCTTCAGGCCCAGACCTCCCTTGCAAAAGAGATCTGTGATCCAGTGGGATCTGCCTGTTAAATAAAGGTTAATAAATAAATAAACTGAGGCCTGAATCTTCTTTACAACTTGTTGTGGAAACTTTTCTGATCCAGGTCCTCCTGGAAACGATGCTAAGCAGGTTGAGTGACTGGACCTGTGGAAGGATGCCACGAACCAGAGTCAACTGAGGCCCAAAACTGGTCTGGAAGGTCACCCAGGAGGGTCTGGACCTCTGGAGTCAGCATAACGGGACTTATTTCTTAAAGTTACTAATTGTTCTTAACTTTCGTTAAAAATGGGGCTTCTTTTTATTTTAAAGCGCAGATTTTATTTTTGAGTCTGCAGGAATGAAGTCAGCATGTCTGATTCTATCGTCACTCAGTTTATCTCTACTTTTATACAAAAGGTCTTTTTATTTTTGCATTAATTTGTGCACTCTTTTGTCTTGAATGTGTTTTTTCTGTTCTTCTGATAACCTGTAAAGATTTTTTGAGTTAAACCTCCAGAACTCCTCCCTCAAACTTTTAACAGATCCTGATCACGCGTGACGTACCACAATGAGTCACATGACTGCTTGTGAATTCGTACCGTGCTCAATCGACCGCGATAATCCGATGCAGACGGCGTCGGTGTTGTACGAGCACGGGGCTCGACTTCCTGTCAGAGAAGTAAAAACCAGTGGGAGACGCTGCTGCACCCACATCAACACAAGTTCAGTTTAAACTGTTATAAATAATTTCATGTCGGAACAAAGTAATCCAGATTTGTCAAATAAATACAGACACTTCTGTTGTTTTGCTCAGTTTGTCGTAACAAAATATGATTTTAGTGTTTTGTTTGTTGTTTATTTGACTGTAGAAAATATCGGTCAGTCATCCGGCCCACGAGCCACTGATCGAATTATAAATTTAACAGAATAAAACATGGAGAGAAATAGTAAAAAGGTTCAGAAGAGGAACAAAACATCCAATAATGACTGAACGTTTGTCCCGAAGATTTGAAATTAAACGTTAAACCAATCAATGAAGGTTTGTGTTTTCCAAGCTGTTAATTTTGTTTAATCTCTTCACAAATGTCCAGATTACGTGTAAAACAACAGGTGAGGTCTCTGTGGAGTTACTGTCATTTTACAAACGTGACATTTGGTTTTACTTCCCTCTCGGTCCTGATGTTCCTCATTTCTGCTGCAGGAGGAACAAACACGAGGAGCTTTAGTTTTAATTCAGAGACGAGACACCAGAGGAGACACTGGAAACATCTGCTGGAGACACTTTGACTGGTTCTGCTGACGAGTTTGCGTCCTGTCTTCACTCCGAGACAAAATGTCTTCTCAGTCAGAGAAGGACCTGTCCTGCTCCATCTGCCAAGACATCTTCAGAGACCCGGTTGTCCTGTCCTGCAGCCACAGCTTCTGTAAGGACTGCCTGCAGCGGTGGTGGGACGAGAGACGGAAGGACGCGTGTCCACTTTGCAGAGAGATCTCTTTGTTCAGACGTCCTCCTCGTAACTTGGCTTTGAAGAACGTGTGTGAGACGTTCACGTTAGAAAGGAAGCAGAGAGCTTCGGCGGAGCCTCTCTGCAGTGTGCACGCCGAGAAGCTCAAGCTGTTCTGTTTGGATCACCAGGAGCCCGTCTGTCTCGTGTGTCGAGACTCGAACCTGCACAACGACCACAGGTTCAGGCCCATCGCTGAGGCCGTGCAGGACCACAGGCAGGAGCTCCTGGTGTCCCTGAACCCCGTCAAGAAGAAGCTGAATCTCTTCCAGCGAGCTAAAGGGAAACTTGAGGAAACAGCCGAACATATCAGGGTTCAGGCCCAACGCACGGAGAGGAGAATAATGGAGGAGTTTAAAAGGCTTCACCGGTTCCTGCGAGAGGAAGAGGAGGACCGTCTCGCTGCTCTGAGGGAGGAAGAGAGGAGAAAACATCAAGCGACGAGGGAACGGGGCGAAGCTCTGAGCAGAAGCATTTCACGTCTCTCAGACACGATCAGAGCGACAGAAGAGGCGCTGAGAGCTGCAGACGTAACATTTTTACAGAAATACAAAGCTGCCAGGACGAGGGTCCAACAGGACCGCCTGCTGGACGACCCACCACCAGCTTCAGGAGTTCTGATAGACCAGGCCAAACATCTGGGCAACCTGAGCTACAACATCTGGACCAGGATGAAGGAGATGGTCTCCTACTCGCCGGTCATCCTGGATCCAAACACGGCTCATCCAGGACTCCACCTGTCTGAAGATCTGACCCGAGTCAGACTCGGGCTGAACCAGAAGCTTCCTCAGAACCCAGAGAGGTTTGACCAACACCTCTGTGTTCTGGGTTCTGCTGGGTTTAGCTCCGGGACTCACAGCTGGGACGTTGAGGTTGGAAGTGATGAAAACTGGGGGGTCGGTGTGGTGAAGGAGTCCGTCCTGAGGAAGGGACCAATCCAGACCGGGTTCTGGGGCCTGTGTCTCTTCAGCGGAAGCTACATGGTCGTGTCTTATCCGCTTCCCGATCAAATCCTCCCGGTGTCGGAGCTGAAGCGGGTCAGAGTTCAGCTGGACTGGGACGGAGGGAGGCTGTCGTTCTTTGAGCTCGAGGCCAACAAACATCTTTACACCTTCAGACAAACGTTCTCCGAGAAGCTGTTCCCTTTCATCGGGACCAACGACCAGTCACCCCTGAAGATTTTACCTGAGACAGAACAGCCTGCGGTTCTTCTGTGAACCACTTCACATCTTTCTCCTCATTTAGAAATTATTTTTATTAACGATGTCCAAGAAAATCCTTGAATAATTAAGGAGCAAGGAACTAGATGAGGACTGGGTTAAAAATAAAGATCTAAGCCCAGAACATCCCACAGAGCTCCATTCAAACTTGAAGGGATGGAAGATGATGCCACCACAGGAAACCTGCCAAGATGGCCGCCTACCTAAACTCAGACCAGGTGATCAGAGAAACATCCAAAAGGTCAAAGATGACCCTGATGGAGCTGGGCAGCCCTCTTTGAGAGGCACAGAGCTGGATTTTGTGGAGAAGCAGCAGGAAACAGACATTAGAAGATAAAAATAAATAAAAACGTCGAACCATTTGGAATTTCTTCCTCAAACACGTGGAAGGAGTTACTGTGGTCCAAACGAGACTAAACTTTCAGGCTGTCAAGAACAAAACATCACATCTGAGGTGTTTCTACTACAACTCATCATGCTGACGTCACCATCCCTACAGTGAAGCACGGTGGAGGCAGCATCATGCTGTGAGGATGTTTATCATCAGCACAGCTCCAATGGTTTAAAGAGAAACCGTTATATGTCCTGGACTGGACCAGTTCATGGAGATGAACCTGAAAGGACAAGTGCTGTAAAAGTGGTTCTACAAAGTATTAAGATTTAGGGACGGAGTATATGAGTACACAATATTTTACAACTTTATGTATTTATTTTGATCAATTTAAAAATCCATTTAAATTTCAGGTTGTATTTAAAATTATACTCGTTTTATATATTTTTATTATATACAGTATATTCATATTAAAATTATGTATGTATATATATATATATATATATATAGATGTTATTATTTATTAATTATTACAGTATATTCATATTAAAATTA